GGAAATTCTAAATATCCCCTTCTGCTCGAGTGAACAGAATTAGGTATCAGCCTCATGCAATTGATGAACTTACTATGTCTTAACTGTGACTGTGTGTTAAGTCTGATCCATGGTCAGTCTATCTGCAGTCAGACACAGGACTCATTAGAGGCTCACTGTCCCCTGAGACTCCCCAGTTCAAGCCCTACATGTAATTTCTCATTAGTGGGTCATTCAGTGCTGTGATTTAATCTGCCATTTTGATGCTCACTCAACGAACAGGGCTTTGTTTATTCACCCCTTTCGCTAGTTCTATTTTTTGTTCTTTTTCATACCAACATCAGAGTGACAGGCCATTGGTTAGAAGAGTGGAGTTATCTCACACTCAGATGGTGAGCGGATAGGCCCGGTAATAAGGACATTAAACATCTCTGACTGGAGTGGGGTGACCTTCCTGCCATAAATATGAGTTATGTGTTTTTCTGAGCTTACCCAGATAGTAAAGATGAAACGCATCCTTCCCATTCCTATGCATATGAGCCAAAACCAAAGCAGAGAATGGCAGTAACTAAAGCAAACATCTTCAGAGCATTTGCATATGCAGCAGCAGCTTTCCTATTTAGCCCAATAAATGTGATGTCTTTTGTCCTTGCCTGAAACTAAAAAGCCTATCCACAGGAGATTATTTGGGGTCGATGATCTCCTAGTGGGAACTGTACAGCTTGTCTAGAGCTGAATGTGCTCAACGTTATGCCATAAACTGTTAAACACATAAATGCAATTCACTGATTTACCAAATTTAGACTGGGAGAAGTGCAAGATATCACAGGTATGCTTTTGAAAGCAGAAAACATACTGTATGCACTAGGCATGCAACAGTGATTTTAGCATGCTTAGCATGTCTGTTTCACTGGAGGGTAAATCAAATATACAGTATATTAACTAGTAGGAGAACAGCAAGAGGGACAGCAAGCAGCCCAAGTGTGGCTATAGGGAAAAAGTATATTGAATATTTAGTTGTATCAAATAATTAGATTGTGTAGAGGATATATTGCTATATAAAGGACTACAGAACCCCAACCCTACCCCGTACATACAACATATCACTGCTTATCCTAACCCCAAGGAGTTGTGATTGGGGATTGTATGTAGAGTTGTAGAGGGTTATATGCTCATGATCCATCCTTTGAAATTTCATATAAATTTAAGCTATGATCAACAAATATCTCTCTATTATACCAGAAGTACCTTCAACCAACTATCCGGCAAATCATCGATCTGGTGTTGTCGAGTCTAAAGCAATAATTGTCTGGTCTTACTCTCAACTCCTCAAATACCGTTGCTTGGTCAGTGGCCTTCCATTTCAAAATATAACGCTGTAGGTAACCCTCTCACATCATTTCTGAATGTGAAGGGCTCTGCAGTCAAGTTATATATACTGTATATATATATATATATATACATACAACATCCAGTTACGTCCATCCCACCACCTTCACATGTGAACTTTCTTGCTCTTTATACTACGTTACCTGACTTTAACAGCAGCTGTAATCTTTCAAAAATGTTCAATAGTGGCAGAGTGAGTCCTCTTACTGTCTCTGTGCTAGAGACCAGCTACCCGGGGTCTGACAACAATCCACCACCAACTTTGGTGTGTTTCTTTCCTTTTACCTGTCAGTATGTAACGAACACCATGCTGTCTGAAACGCTCTCCGAAGCGAGTAAAGGCTGCACCACAGCAGCAAAAAGTTCACTTAGTTGTCTGTGCAGTTAAGCAGCACGTGGTTAAAAATGCAAGCCTTGTCTCTGTGCATAAAAGTAGCGTTTTTCCTTCCTCTATGATGAACGTTTGACAGCCTGCTGTGTGCTTATTGCCGCACTGACGCTGATGAGTTTTACATAATTTGTATCAAAATTTGGTACACAATTTACAAGACATTTTTCAATACGACACAATTCGGTTGGTGCGATTGAGGTTCAGTACACAGCCCCACAGCAACAAATTATGCTTGAGGTATACTTTACAACTTGGAAAGCCACTGACCAAGCAACAGTATTTGACCACTTGGGAGGCACGATTAAGTACCCACAGGAGCCTCCCTGTTTACAAACACTCATCTTGAGTGGTTTTTAGCAATGCTGACGGTAGAGAATATTGACTGTAAATAAAAAATATCATGTAACACTATTATTTTATGCATAACAATAATCCTATACAGGTACAACAACACCTTACAAAACACTTGCTGCACCACACTGCTGCTAGTTAACTTGCCTTCAACAGGATGGTGTATCTGAGGCTGTTTCCAGATTCCTTATATACAATACTGGAGAGGAGTTGCGTTCACGCTCACACTCACTGTACATTATACTTCTTCAATTTATGTTCTAATTCCACTAACTGTAGCCACTTACCATTTCATTGCAAATAAGATTTAAACATTAAATCATCCAACTTGAGGTAGTAATACATACACAATGATATCCTCTGGCCTGGATATACTATAGAACAGTCTCTAAACAGAAGCTTTTTCCCCCTCTGCTTTGTAGGACAGAGCTGCGTGGTAGGGAGAAGGCAGAAGAAAACAGACGGCAGAGCGGTCCTCTGCGGTTTGGAGGAGAGAGGAGCTTTTCCCAAGCTTGTCACCTGACAGTTGAGGACTAGTCAGACTGAGACAGTGACAGTTTGAGGTCAGACCATGTTTCCACTCGGCTCAGTGGCCAGTCAACTGGAGAGCTACAACATGCCCAGAGGAGCAGCTCATGAATGGCAGGTATCCTAAAAGTAGATATACTCCCTCTAGATTCCTCTGACAGCGCTTGTGCCCATGCTGATATAATCTAACAGACAAACAGTGCTGTTGAGTGATAGCCCTCCAGCTGTTACTGTATTTTCTACAGGTCCAGGACAAATAAAACTCAAACATACAGTTAGTGCATGTGGCTCAAACTGGATCACAACTGAAAGCACAGAATTGAGTGTTCACCAGGCCCTCAAATGAGAGCGTTGGACAAGAACAAACAGCATACTGATGATTTGGCTATCCTTGGAGCCTGACCAGAAGTGGGGAAAAGCCCATAAGGTAATTAAATGTGTTAAAAAAAGGTTTCATCTCCTGAGAAACATGGTTGTTCTAAGAAAATGTCATAACAGTTGGTTCAATTATAAAAAATATCTTGTGTACAAATTAGATATTAGAAACTGAGTAGGAGAAAAAGGGAAACTTACTGAATGTCCAAAATGGAAAGAACGGATTCATCCACATAAATGTACTATTACTATTGACATTTCTAGTGTACAGTACAGCCAGACAGCAGCTCTAAAAGAAAAGTCAGGTGGTCAGCAAAACATCTGGACCTATGGGATCAAAAAAGCATTCGTCTTCTGAAGATCATTAAGATCTGCCACAAATATTATGCAAATTCAGTTTCCTGATTGGTGTTTAAGATGTCAGATAAACTTTGACCAGAGCGTTGGAAGTGGTAACCTGATAATGGCTCTATCCCCGACTGTGCTTTGAGTGGTTGGAAGACTAGAAAGGCGCTGTACAAGTACAGCTCCTTTTACCTTTTACCAGTGACATGCGGTTGTGCTTGTAAACACTGCTGAACCATATAACAGTGTAACTCCAGTTTGTTTCACTACAAATGAGAGGAGGAGGAATGTCCTTGAAGTAAGGGGTGTACATTTGTTAGGGTTCAAGCAAATATGGTGGGGAGATCTCTGATCAGGTATTGCAAGACTCGTCATTGTCATGCTGCTCAAAGGTACATTTTGAACAGACAATGGCGCTACAAAGAAGGTCAGGGGTGCGTCATAAAAAGGGGTGGTGGTGGTGGTTATTGTCTGTTAGCCATAATTTGTGCCATGATGCAATACATTTCACTGCTATGTGGTCAGAAATGGTTGAAGTATTTTGCTTAGGAATAAAGTGGTGAAGAGATGAATGGACAAATGTAGTTACACAGTCAGGGCTTGGGATGGCACTGACCACCCCTGAAATCTGACTGGCCATAGTGCCACCCATTGTCCTTCATCTTTGAGAGGCTGTAGCAGGCTTTGTTTTAAAGCTAGAGTGAATATACTTGTATGACATTCTAGATGACCTAATGCATCCATTGTATCAACCATGTCAGGCTCGAGAAGTGGGGTGTAAATAACGCTCCAAAGTTAGGGTAAGGTTAGGGTTGGTGATAGAAAAACTAGCATGGCCATTTTCTTTGAAATCTGACCTCAATATATCTGAATAAAAAATGGGTTTTATACCAACAAGTCAACTCTTTGCAGACTGTAGTTCAGGCAAAAATCATGCAGTTTTTAATATGCAGTGGTATAAATTTGTTATTTCTTAGTATTTTCTGCATACCGGGGTCAATAAAAAGTGTTGGAATTGCATAAATTGGTAAAGACTGGAAGGCTGAAACACATACCACCCCTGCATAAGTCAGTGCCCCACTTGTGCCACCCCAGTCAAAAAAGTCTGAAAATACCCCTGACTAACACCTTCAAAGAATATTCATTGGCCAGCAGAAAAGTTGGTTTAATTCCTGCTACAAACACACTCCCTGTCCCACAGCAACACACTGAACCACCTCAAGAGAACACTTAGTCAACACCAAGAGAGCACTGAAAATGAAATGGTACACCTCACTACCTGTGGAAAATAAACAACAAATCAGATGAAATGAAGGCTAGTGTACTGTAGCCTGTAGGTTTAATCACACTGAAATTGTCCTGCTTTTTAACACATTGGCTCTTGAATTTTGCCACATTAATGGCTGGCACTGTGAGCTCAAGGGAGGAAAGTCAATTAAACATAAAGATAGAGGACAGCGTTGAATAAGTCTCTGGCTAATGTGCCGTTTTTCTATTTATCTTCCCCTGTTCATTAAAAAATGTCTATTACAACATGAGTACTTTTCAGAGAGTTAAATGAAAATGAATACTTACTTAGCCTAAAGCACTTCCATGTACAAATAAAATGCAGTGGTGTCACAGAATAAAGAAACAAACTTACGGAGGGAGTGCCACTCGTCCTGCCTTATTGTCTTGGTGATATTGTAGGAGAGGTTTTTGGGTATTGTAGCTGAGGAGTAGTGATACTTGATGTAGGAACACCTTGCAAAGGAACCTGCAGAGAAAAATGACAAAAAATGTATTTTCTTAATACAGAAACAACACTGACTCATGGGTCTTTACATAAGATCCACACTGGAGGACTGAATGGAATGTGAAGATAACATTGTTCCTCAGTGTCATGATTCAGCTGCTGTGTCTGCAGTTATTAATTAAATACCCAAACACTGGCAAATCACTCGTCTTCCCTAAAACAATAGCAATTTGCTGTTGTACGAGACCCTATTGTGTCATCGCTGAAAAACACTTCCAACATACATTTCTATTACCTACAACTCTCACACAATGGCTGTCAGAGAAATGATGTGTTCTTCAAAGGCTATTAACTAATCAGTCAAGGAAGCCATTTGGTGTATAATTATAAATGTCTCTGAGAGTCCCCTGGCCTGGTGATGTGTGTGGGATTTATAGATGAAATGTTTCACTGACAATGTAGACTTTAACTGACAGTCAGAAAGATGTCTGAATTAATAGAGACAAGCCGAGCTGTAGAAATACCAAACCACTACGATGAGAGATGTTCCACAAAGGTTTTTTAAGGGTCACAAAATGTATTCCAAGAATATAGCACTGGTTGTTTGGTTGAACACTTACAACCACTCGGTTACACTTATTGACCTCTAGCAATCCTGTGAATAATGACTCCTATTTGTCAGCAGCAAAGGTGGAAGTATCATGACATTTTTAAAACTCTGTCCGACCTCAGGATGAATGGTTGGTTAGACAAAGCATCTGACTGGAGACCACTGTTTGAATTCTGTCTCCTAACAGTCAAATCAAGCGTAACTACAAGCTGCCCTTAACTATAACCACATAGTCTTGGAGCCCACTTTGATTTAGCCTCTGGTCCAATGTTTTGGGGCCTTCAGTGTAGCGAGCGGATATCCAGAAAATGGATCTCTGTCCTCTGCAGTCCGATTAGCAACTTTATACGTGACAATGATGAGAAAGACACATTTCAGCTCATCTTTACAAACAGATATCTGCATATGAATGCAGATACATTTTTAAAAAGCGAATAAAAAAGTTACATTTTTGTCAGATGATAGCCAATGAGTTATGAGATTGCATTTCAGCCAATGCCTCTTTTGCTCTCCCCACTAGAACTTTGATTCTCTGCCTGAACCCAGCAATCCCTGGTTAGCACACCGCTAACAGGAGTCAACAGCTTCAGATAGCATCTGCAGCTTTAAACAGAAAGTGTGCTAGCTGACTGATGCTGTTAACTCTGTAGAGCAATGTATTAATGCAGGTTACTGTGATAACTGTAGTCTTTGAGACAGTGCTAAGGTGATGTTAGTTAAATGGTTTGCTTCACGCATGCAACTAACTCCCATTTAACGGTACTGTTAATCTGAGATCCCACACATACATACACACCTAATTTCAGCCTAGACCTCAGCACACACATGAGGAGAGGGAAATCCAACCATCGCGCTCCTCCATGCTTTTTGTCTCTAACCAACACGTGTTTCAGAGGACAAAGGATACAAACCTTTTTTGGCACGCAACTCCCCATGCGCACACACACACACACACACACACACACACACACACACACACACACACACACACACACACACATATACCCACACACCCTTTTCTTTAGTTCCCTTTTTAAATTAGATTGTATATTGTGTGTTTTCATCTGTTTTGCCTTTATTGTCTCTTTAATAAATGCCTGTGTTTATATATGCTGGTCTATTTAATTTTGCACAAGAGTGGGTGATACCAGCCTCTCCTATAGAGTATTCCACATCCTTCAACTTGTTTGCTATTAATGGTGATTGTGGTTGTAGTTATTAATTTAATTATGAATCAGAATTTCAAATTAATAGTTTAGTGTATTTTATGAGACTGAATCAATTAACTATTTTCTATCATTTCCCTTCTTTAATGGTGGTGTCCCAAGAAACCTTAATAAGAGTAAAAGTTACTATTTATTATCTTTTGAAAATTAATCAATTAAAAAAAAAAAAGCACCTAAATAACAAACCATTGAAAATGTATATATTTTTTAGGAGAAAATTCGGGTTTGGGTCAGACTTGGTCACAAAATTGCTTCCGTGTTTCAGGCTTAGTTCAGGAAAACGAGTGAAAACAATATGGAAACATGATGGAAACATTTCTGTTTGAGGAAATTGAGCCACATAGATTTCATATTCCCGTGTAGCAAATTTTTGTCTCTTTAGCAGAAGATTCAGTGGAAGTCACACGCTTCATGCACGTCATGATTTATTTGCTAGACCGGGCTCCATGCACTTTCTCACATTTTGCTTTTATCCAAACACAAACATTTCCACCTCAGCCAAGTAAAAAAAACTCCTCTTGTCAAAATGTTGATATTTGCGCACATGTACTTTTCATGTCTGCTGTATCTTATGTAGTTTACTGTTGTTATTTAAATAACTGTTGTCTAGTCTCTGGCTGGGACAGTGCCAGCACTGCCCCGGTAGTAACACAACGTGAGGATTGTGGCTGTAATACTATATGTTCTTACCAAGACTGTAATTTTCTGGCTGGTGGAGAAAGAGCTCCTTCCTTTTGACACCATTTCTGCATATCTGCTCTAATTATCTCTGGCAAGGCTGCATGGCTTACTGAAAATTGCATTATTGGAGTCCTGGGAGATTTGAACTGCACAAACAGAGACAACTAGGATAACACACCCCCCTGCCTCTTCTCTGTCCTGCAGCCATGCACACACACACACGCACACACACACACACACACACACACACACACACACACACACACACACACACACACACACACACACAAAGGCACAAACAAGCAAACCCAGGAGACCACAACTGCTGACAATGGTAATTACCCATTCATGACTATCTCTTTATCTGTGGTGCAGTAGGCACCCCATTGCTCACACTAGCTGTATGTGATGAAACCATGGTTCCATTAGCGAGTACAGTGTACCTACTGTTTCTGCAAATAATAAAAAAAATGTAAACTACTTGACACTTAAACAAAGTTTCTGAAAAGTATAGGATATATTGATTGATATTTACTGTTTTCAGTTTTATCTGCTCTTGCAATCTAGTATCATGCCAAAGCATGTAATACACATGCCGATCCACCGTGGCATTGTCACATGTGCTCGTTCATCGATCGTGTTTTCAACATATACTAGTCATGTGTATAAAATTTAAGAAAATAAGTTTGAAGTGTAAAAGTATGGGTGGAGTTTATGTATGTATAGCGCAAGTGAAACGTTATGCAGCCTCTGGATTTATTAAAATAAATAACAAGCTTATCTGTTTTGTCTGAGGACCACATGGCTGAAGCGCCCCATATGTAGACACAGCGTAATGTTCAACACAGAAAAGCTGCCTGCTGTCTGGCTTTACATTAGTTTTGCTGTCATAGGTACATAAGACAAAGCAGACACTACCATAGAAACCAAAGCTGTGGCTGATGGTCGATGATGCTAAATTTCCAGCGGATGTTGATCTAAGAAAACTACGTAAGTTCTGGTCGCAAAAATAGAATTTATATCTTCAAGTTTGTGTCTTGGTGGTGGTTTTGTAATCAATGTTCAATTAGAGATACCAATGATTGAAGAAAAGTACAGTATATTTGCTTAAATGGCACGTCTTATAGTTAGTCACACAGTGATTTGGTGGTTCCTGCTTGCTCGTCTCACCTCCAGCTCCAACAAGTCTTCTTCCCTTCTTCCTCTTACCAAATCTGGATTCTCAAACACAAGTATTAATTGTAATTTACTCGCAGCAATTCGCGGGTGGTAAATCCAAGCTCTAGGGTTCAGAATATACTTTCTGAAACTGTGACATTGTCAATGCTACAAACAGGTGGATAACATGAAAATATGATTTCCAATCTTCCAAGCCTATCATCTATAGTACCCTATGCCTATAGGAATAAGACCTGAACTAGATGGCTAACAGTCAGCTAACTCTGCCATTCCATTCATGTCTCCAGGAAGGTGCTTCTGTTTAGTAAAATCCAGCAAATGTTCTAACCTTACAACCTTGTCCTTAGTGCCTGGCATTGTAATGCAACATTGATTAATCAATGATGTTCATATGTAATCCATGTACTCAGTGAAGGCTTGCCTTAAGGCTCCCACAAGACATCTCCTGTTACTTCAGAGCTGCTTCCCTTGTGCAGTGTTTGAAGAAGATCTTAACTCTAACTCTGTGCAATCCCGCTGGCTTTAAAACACAGACTTCTGCTGATGTTATTGAATGAACAGAAAGGTTGCTAGCAGTGATCTGTCTTGTGCAGTGGAGTCATGGAGCTGGTATGGATTTTTCTGATGTTTGAGGAAGCCTCTGAGACCTGGAGGGATTTCAAACAGGCCAATAAAACTGATGGCCCTGACAAGAGGCTCATCTGGCAATGGGCCTCTATTACCTAACCAGCATTCATTTGAACACATCTTACCACTGTTCAATAAGCCCCCACTCCATACTGCTCACAAATAGATACTACATTAAGGAAGTTACTAGAGGAGAGAATCTACAGTAAAATGTATGTGCACTGACATTGTTGGGTTTTAAAAGGCTGTTCCGCTGCTGCAATGTGGTCAGCAGCACTGACTGTCAACAATGGGCTGCTGGTACTTGTTCACATGAACAATTATCATTCCGGTGATCAATATTGCTCTGCCAACTGTTATGCCGGAAACTTGGTCAATTATATTGGTTGGACTGAATGTGTTGTTGAAGACGTGCTTGGGTTTAAAGAGTGGGAACTGGGGAGTGAGGGCCCTGTCCTGACAAGTGGTGAGAGTCCAAGAGAGATTTTGAGCAGATGAAAGCAGAAAGCTGTTTTTTCATGTCATTGGCACATCAAAAGGTGCAAGAAGTGCTCTGACACATCTCTCCTCCAGCAAAAGGGGGAAAAAATGGAGAGTGTTTGCCCCTCTTGCAGAGGACCAAAAATACTCAGGCTTCTAAAAATTTAAAGTCCTAGGAATTCCCCTTGGTAGGGTCCTCCATAGACAAGGAATCCTAA